GGGGGGGGGGGGGGGGGGGGGTTGGGGGGGGGGGGGGGGGGGGGTTTAAGGGGAGGTTATCGGAGGGCACGGGGAGGTGTTTAAGGGGAAGTTATCGGAGGTTGCGGGGGTGTTTAAGGGGTAATGGGGAGTGTGTAGGAGAGAAGGTAGCTACTGGCGAGTGTGGGACCAGTGCTGGAGGGGAAGGGATGTTGGATGAGATGGATAGCTCAGGGGTACGTAGAGAGTGTAAAAGGGTTGGAGATGGTGTACTGGATGGTTTTGGGGAGAATGATGGAGCTCCTGGAGGGTGAGGAGGAGGAGGAGGAGGGTATCCCAGTGTAAGGTAGGTATCAGATGTTGTGGGAGGAAGAGGGGGCTGACCCAGGTCTTACCTCCCCTTTATTTGGGGTTTGTCTCTCTGTGTTCTCTGATTTTTGGGTTTGGAAGTTCCTGGCTGTTTGGTGACTTGTGGCATTGCACGCTTGTGGGTGGAGCAGAGAGCGTTCTGACTAATTGTCCATCTGGCACCGCACTGTCGGAGGGTCGGCGCCGAGGGAGCGCCGCACCGCACTGTCGTAGGTTCGGCGCCGCACCGTTGGAGGGGTCAGCCTGAAGGCAGCAGGCACTCTCGGAGGGGTCAGCGCTGAGGTGTGAGCGCCGCGCTGTCGGAGGTGCCATTTTGTGGGGTGGGGTGTGACATTTAACTGGGTAAACTGCTTTTGGACCTTGAGCAGCAGGGGTGTGGTGTGTTTGGTGAGTTAATGGCGCATTCTCCCTCGTGCCCAGTGTTGCCAACTTTATCCCTGTAATCCAACATCACAAAAACATTAGGATATTTTTGTCTCATGTATTGGAGCGTTAATGAGTATAAGTCGCTCTCTTTAAGATACGACATGCACGTATGTCTTTATAAGAAAATAGCTTGAAGGAACTCCCACGAAACTAAGCCATCCATACTTGAGGTTTCTGATTTCCTTCAGTGTCCAAAGTAATTGTACGAATTCAAGTTTTTTGGAGCAGTACCGAGAAACTGGGGCAGAGGCAGGCTGAGTCGAGTACGAGGGGACAGATCCCTCAAATTGAAGGTGGGCTGCTCGAGGCTGATGTCTGTCAAAGGGGAGGAGTAATCTTGAAACAACCCTCGCCCCAGAATTAAAAAGTGTGGTTAAGGCTGCAGGAATGGTGAGCTGGAAATGCCAAAACTGAGGCGCGTAGATTTTTTTTTAAAGGGATTAAAGATACTAGAATGAAGGTGGGACAGTGAAGGTAAGAAATCTATCAGCTATGATGCTGCTGATCAATAGAACGGTTACCGGTTCTCTCTTCCTTCCCCCGTCCCCGTATTGTACTGGACAGTTATGAGGCTCCAGTCAGAACTAAAGTCCATACAAATTCCTCGTTTGCAGCCACCCAGTTGGGACATGTTTATTCCAGTGCTGTCTGTGAAAGCTCAGTGGCAGCCTGAACAAACTTCAATAGGGCTCACCCAACAAAGCGGGCACAGCGCACCCACCCGACTACACAACACCCGACTCTCTGCCATTCCTTCACAGGAGCCCCATGGTGACAGGGACCTCGGTGCTGGGGGTGAAGTTCGACGGTGGGGTCATTCTGGCCGCTGACATGCTGGGCTCCTACGGTTCGATGGCCCGCTTCCGGAACATTTCCAGGCTGATGAAGGTGAACGACAACACAGTCCTGGGCGCGTCGGGTGACTACGCTGATTACCAGTACCTCAAGCAGGCCATCGAGCAGATGATGTGAGTGACCAGGGGAACTGCACCAGGAGAGAATGTGGTGGAGCTCGCTCCCTCGGGGAGAGAACTGGGGTGGGGGGTGGGGGTGCGTACTCACTACTGATCTTGTGAACTACCTTGTCTTTGTCCCTAGGATTGATGAAGAGCTGC